TAGCCAGCCACTGCCATCCAGCCTGGGCAAGCATTAAGCAAGACCCCTGTCTGCTTAAAAAAAAGAGTAAATAGAAAAATCAACATGTGAAATGCTATGAAGAAAAAAGACAGATAATGGCAGGAAAGGAGAGCCACTCAGATACGTGGCCAGGGAGGGCCTCTCCAAAGAGGGTGACATCTCATCCAGGACCAGAAGCAAGGAAGAGGCAGAGCAGAGAGCAAGGGAGGGCACCAGAAGCTGGCTGGGCGGGGCGTCAGCAGCTGAAGCTCGGGCATGGTGGCAGTGAGGTTGGTGAGCAGGAAGGAGGCGGCGCCGGAGAGGTGCTGGCGCAGCGGCTCCAGTTGGCTGTGGGAGGAGACAACAGCTTACCCCGAGTACAGCTGGAGGCAATGTCAGTGCCCTAGAAGCAGGGAAGGCACGAGTCACTTGGCATCGTGCAGCAGTGCTCCAACATTCCGCATTCCCTGCTGCATGGATCCAGCAGGTCTTTGTGGAAGAAAGGCCCACTGAAGAACTTTCCATCTGTCCCAGCGAGTTCTCTTTGTTAACTAGCCCCTTGATCTTGCCTGCTCAGGCCTGCCATACCAGCTTTCTCTCCTTTCCCCAACACGGGGACAGCGCCAGCTCCACAGCTTATTTAAAGCCAAGGAGGAGGTGGACTTGGTAACAGGGTGAAACAATGCACTTGAGGTGGAGAAAGTATAAAAGATGACAGCTTTTAAGAGCAGAGCCTTCAGGAGCCATGATTTTCAGGAGCCAGCGGGCATCTTACTAACCAGCCAGCCGCTGGCCAGGAATAGAGCCTGGTGAGGAGTGACAGGTGTGCATAGCGTACCTGCAGGGAGAGAGAGGCAGAGTGTCTGTCCTAAGGGGCCAGTCAGACACCCCAGGGTCTGGCCTTGTCCAGCCCAGAAGGACAAGGCCTGTGTGCCATGCTCCTGCCGCACGTGGCTCAGGACCACCTGCCCCGTGGCCTGGGGCTCTGCCGGGCAGCATCACTTCCTCATTTCCCCTCGCTGTGAGTGAGGGCCGTGGCGTGGGTCTGGACACGGCATGGAGAGGACGTGGGGAGATCACAGGACCCGTGAGGAAGTAGGTGCTCCTGAGAGCACAGCCAGCCCCCTGGCCAAGGACACTCGGGACTCAGACCCCTGGCCAAGGACACTCGGGACTCAGACCCCTGGCCAAGGACACTCAGGACTCAGACCCCTGGCCAAGAACACTCGGGACTCAGACCCCTGGACAAGAACACTCGGGGCTCAGACCCCAGCCGTCAGCAGGGAGGCAGGCGGGGGAGGTGCTGCAGACACTTAGAGGCTGAGAGTCAACGGGAAACCCTGCCCCAGCCATGGCAAGCGAGGTGGCAGATACACAGGGATCACCGGGAGGCCCTGGGAAAGCTCACCTGACCAAAACAAGAAAATGGAAAAAAAACCTTCCTTCCCCAACAGGCATATTGTTTTCAGTGAGAGACCGCCCTTGAGTAGCGAGGAACTCCGGAAAGCAGGAGTGAGGACCAGGGGCTGAAGAGGGACAGGGGCAGCTTGTGCAGAGGTGGCGGGGGCAGCCCTGTGTGACCCAGGGATGCCTGGTGTCCCCTGGGCTCTTTCTGCCTCCTCTCCCAGCCCCGCCTCCCCTTGGAGGGGTTTTCCTCTCCCCTACTCCAGCCCTTCCCCTCCCCTGCTCCAACCCTTCCCCTCCCCTGCTCCAGCCCTTCCCCTCCCCTACTCCAGCCCTTCCCCTCCCCTACTCCAGCCCTTCCCCTCCCCTACTCCAGCCCTTCCCCTCCCCTACTCCAGCCTTGTGGCTTTATCCATGTGGCACACAGATTTCAAGGATCAAACCTGAAATTCTAAGGATGCACCTCAAACTTATCACCCCTATTGTATTTTTTCAGGAGAGGAAACAAGTTTCAAGTCAATATGTATACAGGAGCCCTTCTCTTAGCCACAGGGGAAACGTTCCAAGACCCCCGGTGGATGCCTGAAACCACTGATAGTACAGAAGCCTGTATATACTATGTTTGTGTCTGCGTGTACATACCTGTGATAAAGTTTGCCTTATAAATTAGGCACAGTAAGAGATTAATAACATAACTAATAAAAAATCAAACTTTTATAGCAATATACTGTAATGAAAGTTATGTAAATATGTTCTCTCTCTCAAAAATGCCTTATTGCACATTTGTACATAATGTCTCAACTATTTTTGGACCTCGGTTGAC